ATATATATATATATATATAAAGCAAACCATATAATGATGGCTTTGAATTTGGTTTCAACGTTTGCTTTCACTTTCTAATATATATATATATTACACCATACTTGGAAGCCTTCAGCCACATTCAAGCATGCAAATCTGCCCCAAACTAAACAAAACCCCATCTGCTCCATCTTGGAACTCCAAGTAACAACACCAAGCCGTGACCTTTTCCTCAATAGAATAAAAATCCAACCGCAACTTCCAGTGCAGCCCGGCCACGAAAAACTCCAAGATTTCGGCCGCAACCTCTTCGCAAGCATCAAATTTGGTTGTGATTTTCAACAGCCCCAAACACCTTTCCTCTCTCTGCCTACGAGAAGCCATGGATCAAAGGCTTCAAGAATTCAAATCAGAATTTTCGCCTTTTCTTTACGAAAGAATCCCAGATTTGTGTTTTTTTTATTTATAAATATTGGTTATGTAATTCATTGTCCCTTTTCTTTATGATGATGGGTTCTATATTTTATTTATTTTTTCTATCAAAGATGATGGGTTCTGTTTGTTTGTTCAGAAAATTTAGTAAGTGAAATAAGCAATAGCAAAAAGTTTCTAAGTTGCAGTTCGTATTGTAGTTTTCTTCTCTGTGTGTTCATGAACCAATCTCTCTCTTTTTTTTTCTTTTTTTTAAATTTAAATTTTTATTGAAGTCCCAATCTCGGTGAATGTATTGGTTCTATAATTTTTCGTATATGAATATTGGTTCTGTAATTTGATGCGTTTTTAATTAATTAATTTTTAAAATTTTTATGATTCCAACCCGAAAAACAATTAATTTTTTATGATGTTAAATAATCTAATAAATAGTAAATTAATTTTGAAAAAAAAATTGAAGTCCAATGTTGTCCAGTGTGGCCTTGTACCAAACAATGGACTGGACTTAAGTCCAATCCAGTCTAGTGCTCTACCAAACAACTCAATAGGACTTGAAGTCTAGCCCAATCCAAGCCAGTCCAATCTAACACTTCAAGCCCAAATCCTAATCAGTCCAGTCCAGCCTACCAAACGGGGCCGAATATCACTGTTATACCAAGCAGTCTAGTCATCTATTAACATTCAAGTTTAGCTGGCCTGCAAGTGCACAGCTACAGAAATTTAAAAAAAAACACAGTATTTTCACCCTGCTAGAAATTTTAACATACATGACATTCTATGGTGAACATGACTGCTTATGTGGATTCGGAGAGTTGAATGCTAAATGCCATAGAAATCTTGAAGAGAAGAATAAACAGAGAAGGAAACTAAAATCTTGGGCTAGTTGAATCCTAGACGCTACGAAAATCACTCCTAAAGGCGGACCTAAGCTTAGGCTGGAGTGGGCTCCAACCTAGGGGAAGATTTATAAAGTATTGAACATGGTTTAAATGTTATAAGCTTTATTTCTACTTTAATAAATATTAGCTCACTCCTAAAGCATATAGGAAATAATAACATCAATCCAAACCTATATAAAAAATAAGGAAGTACCCCCCATTTTGATTCAAATAAAAATACTAGAAAATCAAATTCTCACCAAATCAAAATATAAAAAATCGGTTTTAGTGCAAAATACGATTTAGGTTAAAAATGATGGCTCATTAAGTCAATATATACTTCATATTAAAATCCCATAAAATCAAGTTTTCTTATTTGATGTGTAAGGAATAAAAGCCGCCAAAAATTATCTTGAGAAAATGAGTATTCCGAAAAAACATTTTTCATACTTAGTCAATATTGCACCTCCGTTAAAAAATTTCTGGGTCCGCCAGTGGCTACACCCACAAAGAGCAAACATAAAAAAATTTCTTCTAGCCACCCAAAATGCCATATTTGAATCTTGAGAGCCAAGAGGAAATAGCTCTCCTCTAAAAAATTTACCAACCTATCTTCAATAGGTTCTTCAATCTTGGTAAGTTTTTTTTATTTTATACATATTCAATTTCCAATTTTAATTGTTGTTGTTAAGTTTTTATGATTTAGGGTCAGGGTGAAAACTTTTGGAGAGTGTTGATATATATTTCATTTTTGCAACTTGAATTATTAATTAGCATATATGATTTTTTTAAGTTGGACAATGTATTTAATTTGGTATTTATTTATATTTTGTACTTCTTTATGTTATATTTGCTTGTAATGTGGCCATGTTTGATTTATAAAATTTTATTTACATTTTTGTTTCAAAAGAAAAAAAAAAGGCTTATAATATATCTCCTCTATAAAAATATATATATATATATATTTAGCCTAACCCTATAAAAATTCCTAGGTCCGCCATTGCTCCCGACGATCTTCAGTTGACCTGAAGACCTAAAGAATCATGACAATCCTATGTTATGGCATCCATCTCTAATTGGGTGGCAAAACCAACTTCAAGACTTAGCTTTCAAGGATAACCAAAGAAGGAATCCAAAAGGGAGGAAAATATGCAAATCATGTTCATTCAGTAATATTTTATGTAAGCCTGGTCTTTCATTTATTAGAAAATGCACTAGTGGAGAAGAGTCTTTTGCCTGTTTCTAGTATCAAAACTGACAGATTCAACTATGTGGTTGGATATTGTGAGGCACAAACCAATCGTGTGATTTAATAACATTGATCAGAAAATCAAGTGAGCACTGTTAATTCAAAGCCATAGTATCAATTACCTAACTCCTAAGAAACGAAAGTAGGTTCACTTTCAAGAAACAGGAAAGAAGTGTGGAGACTTAAATGTGAAATTCAAGATAAGAATGTTATCATTAGAGTCATGGCGTTGTACAGGGAATGTATTAAAATGGGAGATCTCAAGTTTCCAGTCCAACAATAAGAGCATCCAAGCACACATCCAATGATGAACAACTGTAAGGAATTCTCACCAGACAAGTGAGCTGCACTAAAAATAGCTGAGCTTATCAAAACTGCTGACTGCCATTTCATAGTGGACGAAATTGACGCTAATAAAAATCCCCTGTAAACAGTTTCTTCCAGCACGGGAGTGACAATGCAATATACAAGAACGCAAGCAGCTTTTGAGATGTTGCTGCTTACCAGGATTTCTTTGAGTACAGGGTTGTTTATAGCCTGCAATGATATGGTGTAAAATAAAATACTTGAAAGAGGAACAGAGTTTCCATAAAATTACTAAATCAATGATATATTTATTTAGAGAAATATAAATGAGCTGTAATAAGAACTTGAGAATTTGAAAAGGAAAAAACAATTTATAAGGAACTCTACAACAGCGAGAAAATGAGCCAACTTCTTTGGAAGTTTTTTCTACTTGCATTAAGGACTCAGATGATACACATTGTTGAAGCAACTGCTTAGAGTTATATTGCATTGGAAAACATGTAGATTGAAAAAGGTCAAGAAAGACGAAATAGAGACATACTAAATCAAGAAATCTTTTCTAAATTCAATGCAAGATTGATTTGGGATATTTCCAGTGAGTTAGATTAGGCTTTTATCCCCTTATTCATTTATTCTTGGGCCCTTTCAAAACATATTTTGCTTGTTGTCTGATGCAGTTGTGAGATCATTTTAACTTAGGTGGAAAATCCTTAATTCCAATTGTAAAAGCCTCTTCTACCAAGCACTATATGATTCTAAACTAGTTAAAATCAAATCACAGCCACTTACTCATAAATAGTGAAATCAAATTAAAATTAATATCAGAAACATTTTATCAAGCACCAAACAATTATATTAGCTACTGTATCATCACAGCAAACCGAGTCATCAGACCATGTAGTGGTCAGTTTGTTCAGTTTTGGCTAGTGAAACCATTGTGAGCCTAGAGTTAACAAGTCAATGAGAATCAGTCCCCTATACAGTTTCATCTCTCAAATTCTCTATGCACTATGAATCATGTGAAATGAAGGATACAACCTCCTTCCTACAACTCATCATTAATTACTATGAGATCTCATCCATCATCAGATTGGTTGTATTATTCTCAAAAACCATTTATTTACCATATTTGGATACCTTAATCATTGTACCTTCTATCATTTGTATAACATTATAGACGTATGCTCTAGGCAAAAGAAAAGTATAACGTACAGTTCTGAAAAATAAAGCAAGGGCATATATTGGCTTTCCTTTTGTTCAAATACTTAGCTTACCCAATTGTAGAAAAGGTACTTATCCCAGTTTCTTATTGCCTTTCTTTTTTTTGGATGAGAAAGTTCATGAAATATTATAACAAGAGCAGAAAACCATAAGCAGTTAAGTTTATCAAACGAACCTTGGGCCCAACAACACTATCAGCAAGGAAGGAAGTAAGGAAAACCAACATAAATAGAAACCCAAATCCTACAGCTGATGCCAACAGCCAGCTCCTCTCTTTTGATACTTTGTTAGCTTTAAAGAAGTCCACAAACTTATATTGTGGCTTAGCAGTGCTCTGCAGAAGAACTAGAGCTGCAATGAGCTCTAAAATTTGAGCTCCAAGCAATGATATTGCCTGCAATAACC